TCTTCGCCAGCCAGGGTTCCTTTATCTGGCCGTCGTCACATCGTCACACCTTGTCAGAATACCCACTGTAACCCTGCATTCACTGCCAAACACAGCGGTGCGTGCTCCGTTGGTTTCCAAGTGGAAGACAAATTTTTTGACGCGTTTGCATTGAAATCGAACGCGAAGTCAGGTGAGCTAAGACGTGACAGAAGAGGGCAAAATATATTGGTTTAAATTCGAAATTGAGACAAGTTGTTGTTACAGGATCGCTGATTGATTGGTCATGTTCTTTTTCGCGCTCAATTAAATCATTCAATTTAACTGAGGTCAAATGCAGGCTTTTCCTAATACGATCACGCACAAGTTTGTAGGGACGGCCATGAAAAATCGGCTTCAGCGAAACCGTGTGAATCAAACGATTTATGCATGTCACGTTGCTCTATGGCTCTATGGCGGTTATTTTGGATATAAAATTTGATAAATATGCCAGTTTCTCGGGACCGGGGGATGGAATACCAAGATACATATCATGTACCAAAACTTACTTTTGTTATTTGATTAAAAATGAAGGGGGTGGTCATTTCTTTGAAATACACTTTGTCAAATTGTCAGTTCACACATGTGCATCAAGTGTTTTAGTGATTCAATTATTTGATAATGCCATTTGCCCCCCCCCCCTCTCTCTCTCTCTGGTTTTACTTTTTTTATAATTGTCATATTATCTACTTGTCTATTATTACAACCTTTGTTTGTGTTTTTGTTTTCAAAATAAAAGATATAAATATTCATTTCATATGAAACTACCTCATATGAAAATCAGTTTTGGCGAAATATAACGTATAATGAAAAGCAATGGCTTTCAAAATAAATTATTTGTACATGGGCGCCACCAGCGGCAAACTCAGTCAATGTTTTAATGAATGCAAACTAATATGTTGGTTTCATACCCATGTAGCTACATGTTGATTGCGCAATCATTGTTGCATGCAGGTATATTTTGAAAAAAAAATGCAAATATACAGATTCAAGATTACCCTCATCAGCTGTGATGTGACCTACACATTTTGGCGTATCGTTCACAATACGTTTTTAATTCACCATATCGTTGCATCCATGTATTATATAAAGGTTAGGACACGAATGAAGTGGTTACCATGGATACCATGAGGTAGATAGAAAGGGGCGAAACTATTATTCAACATGTTTTAGTTTACAAAAGATGTCGCAATTGCAGGCTATTATTATAAAGTGCGAGATAATAGTGATTCCTTAAGGTGGGAATTATAGGGAAACATTTAAATTACCTTGAATTCTTATTGTCTCTAGCATTCTTGATTTCGTGTCTACTGTCTATTCAAAAAGACCGAATCAATTGTGTAGAGGCGTGATTGCTCCTCTTCCCACAGGGGGAAGACTAAGCAAAGAACGCGATCACTTGAAATAACAACGTAGTTTCCGCTCAAGTAATCGACCTCCTCTTTTTAGACATAGAAAGAACACGTTTTTTTTATTGTGCAATTTTCACCAAACCATCCATAATATTCCAGAATGCATATCTGAATAGTGTACTTCGCGCAAAGCTTAGTTCAGTGCGTCTCTGCGAATACTCTAAACTATTCCATAACAAAAGCGGTTTTACGTTTTACCTAGTCATTTCCTTATATTGGCATGATATATTCAAAACTAGTACATACAAATTTCTAATTATAGTGGATGCAAACAAATCTATATTGGTCGCATTTGGATAATTGTTTTCGATAATATTTAAAGCGGGGGGGTCGTCACCTGCGCACGCGCGGGAATTGAGTCCCAAGCGACGATAACAAAAAACGCTAAAAACGCAAAGGTTCATGGGTAGACGCTTGATTGTAAACAATGACATCCTATGGCCATCTGACGCATGCGCATGTGACGACTCTCCCGCTTTAAGATTCGCTGTCACAATCTGAGTGGTTTATTACATGAGCGGCATTAAGATTTAAATACTTTTTTTTTTATTATTCCAAAAAGTGCGGCTTGGGAAAATTGGCTCTTTTCCGTGGGATATGAAGGCGAGCGTGATGGGGTGCACGCTCTAACATAGGCACGTACGTTGACATAATAGGGTGACTTGATCTTATGCTTTAAAACCTCTAGTATCTAATTTAGTAGAGGTCCTGAGAGTGCTGCATGTGTCATCCCTTTGGAAGCATACATTGATTATGGCTTTGAACAATGTCAAACCCAGTACTCTGTGTATTGTTGAAGCATGCCGCCATCAGACGTATGAACAATACTAACACATGAGGGCAAATCTTATAATATGTGTTTGTACGTCTGTCCAACATTGCATTTACGCATGAAATTAAAACCATATTCACTCACTTCTTCTTAAAACACTTACAGTGGGAATATATGTGAACAGAAGGTAGTCATGTGATATAGTACAATAACCCTCTGCTGCCTAGCCTCGAATTGACAATCTTCTAGTGTAGACCGGGTGCACCAGTCTTATAGACGTATGTCATATATAATTCATAAGTCTCATAAATATATTACTGTCCTGAAGAATAAGGCTCCTGCCATTACGTCAAAAAATGCATAGGCAAACCAGATTAAACGTATTCAGAAAATCAACATTTTAAGCACTAATTATCAATACCATCATAGTTAGTGAAAGTTAAAAATAGCTTAAAAAGTATATATATATATATATATCCTATCAAATATTGTTTTCGCGATCAAATATTAATATCAAAATATTAGAACCAGTTTAAAACAAATCCAGTACAGGCGCTAATCAATATTTAGTCACTGGTGTGTGTATGGCCGCTTGTGTTGAGGCAGGTACACCAGCAATCGTGTATAGACGCAAGACGCATACACGCAGATATCCTGATGAGAGATTCACCTGACTTTTTTTTGCCTTTCAAAGAGTGTTCCAGTCTCTCCAGCCATCGCGTTCATTGTTTTAAATTCCATGGTTACATAAATGGGCGGAACAGCAGACGCGCTGAAGGGCGATAATAGAATTGGAAAATTAATATTAAAGCCGATTTCATCTTGAAAAAATAAGTGTCTTGACATTACGTTTAGGATTTACGTTTATTTACACTTTATATTAAACTTACATTAATTTGAGTTGAATTTCATTGGACTTTAGTTATTTTTACTAGATATTAGATTGCAATTTGATTGAGTTTAATTAAATTTCACAATACAAGCGAAAGAATATCACAATGTCGAAAATGGAATCTCGTTATCGTAGTGTTGTTGCTAGATTCATCACGTTCTAATAATAATATTCGCAACTGATGTGTCTATGATTGGCGTCATATGTTTTTGCTGGGAGTTGAATACAGAGAACAGTTTTCGTTGGTTGGTTTCCGTTTTCTCTGATCGTAGGCGACATTCGAATGAACTCATTGCACTGTGTGTAGTTATTCGAATGAATGCTCCCAAAATAAATTCCAGGAGTGGAATTAATGAAGAATTCGTCCCCGAGTACCTAGGTGATGAAACGAAATAAACGAACAGGTGATCAGAACATGAAACATAAGTGCACAATTTAGACGATAGGAAATGGCAAAACGGGAGACTTCTTGATACACCGAGCGGTAGCGAATATTTAACTTCACGTGGTCATTTAATTTGTGATTTATGAGTGTTTTCTAGATAATTATCGAAACATTTGACAATATCAAAATATTGATTGCTGCAAAACATCGCACGCCCCACTGCAACGCGCTGTGAACTTTTCAAGTTGAAATACGACACTCCCATTTATATCTAGTGATATTTTATACACTATTATATCCACAAGTTGGATTGTTTTCTTAATTACAATTTTGCTGTCATGTTTAACTAGTTTCACGAATGTTACTGGGCTAGTATCAGTATTTGCTATTCATTTTTTTGTCTGAATGAGAATGCCATATGTATCGTATATCAACAATACATGCTCATGAGTTAAAGGTTGTGTTAGCCAATCACCAAGATCTATTCTGATATTGACACCTGTATAATGGTAAATAAACTTTATTTTGATATACAAAACTTGTTTACTTGATTTTGAAAATTAAAGAACCAAATATGTATTTTTACTTGCATTGCATTTATGGACTACATTTTATCCGTGAATGAACTTTGTACACACATGTATAGATCAAAAGATCACTAAGGCGTATTGACAGTTTATCATTAACCACACCTCCCGTTGAGGGCGGGCATTGTCAAAGCATGAGATACGTCCAACAGCACGATATATATGCTAGACAGTCTGTTGAACAAATTGTCGAAGATGGCAATAGTGTTAAAAAAATACGAAATAATGGCATGTGTTCAGCTGACCTCCCTTTCGTTCCCCTCATTCATTCAATGTTCGACACCTTCTGTCATGAGTGTTTATTTTGTCGAACACAAATTTACGAAATGGACGGATTGACGACTGATGGATGGGTAGATGAGTGTGCGAAGCCGGGTGCGTAGTTTAATCTAATCTATACGAGTTTTATTCTTTTTTTAATATGTGGCAGCATGTCGACAATTCAGCAACATAATTTAATTAAATTCGGGAACTGGGCGTGCATACAATGATTATGTACGATTACGTTTGAAGGCCATAATCATCATACCAACATTAATATATAATCAAAACAAACGAGACAGATGGCAATTTTTTGATGTTTTTATGCGTTTACGGGGTAACATATGACGTCACACGAATGAAAGTAGTTGGAATTAATTGATTTATTTGTTTTCACTTCAATAAAATAGTTGCTATGATACTGTGAATATTAGCTGCTTGGCTTTCTAACTGCGACTACTAACATGTTGTTTTTTTTTTATATTTACAGGCTATGCTGCTAATGTCGAATGATATGTAATCATTCCGCGACAATATATTACTAAATATTCTCAACATGTATATGAACCTGCTGTTTCATTATCATGTCCCATGCCAGCTGTGGTGTGTGGGATGTAGATTACAGTGCCATGTTATCTTTAAACAGTATGTACACTTTACGCATGTATTAACTATGGGAACGCTGAACACTACAGTCTCTCGTCTCCTTGTGTCTTTACTGTTCGTCTCTACTGTGTTTTATTGTGCCATATATATCGCTGGGTTCGACAGCTTGAGGGTGAATTATAATTCATTGTATGCGGCATCTACCATCCATAATACACCACCACAGGAACTTGGTGAATCGGAGTTAACTACTGTCACAGTTCATGGTGGGATTAGTGTTGGATATATACCTAAACACAAGAACAGTACTAAAGATGTTAGCAGTGAGGCGACTGTGTTCAACGCAAGCTTGGCCCGTGTCGTACATAACATTGTAAGCTACTCGTGTTAATCTCATTTTTTTAACTGTAGGATTTCTAAAATCTGGGTTGAGAGGATATTTCTGGGTCAACGATCCACAATGAGGATCACCGACCAAATTGTTTCGCTACAGCTGTTACACACTCTGCGTGACAAAACTGGAATATCTCGGCAAGGAGCACTCAAGAACATACTTTACATTAATTTAACTAGTTCCCGCAGTTATATTTTACATAGATTTAAAGGTCTTTGCTAATACTTAGATTAGAGTAGACAAGACATGTGGTCAGTGAAGTGTACTCGCAAATTAGGAACGGCGTCCTTTAACAATGCAAATCTGTTGCTTGAAATGCACGTCTGATTATGATCACGTGGTACTGTGATATTAGATGATATTGAGTTTCTCGCCACTGTATATCTTCAAAATATGAATATATTGATGACTTTGCATTGTTCATGACACTTTGTTTACATTGTCCGCCATGTTGACTAGGTGTATTGCGCAGATCTCTTGCGCATAATAGAGGGCGACGTTTTCTTCCCGTGTCAAATACGTTGTTTTTTTCTTCAAAATTCGAACTCGCCCCTGCTTGAGGACTAAGAAAGAATAACAGTTCATTAGAGAATAAAAGACGGCGCGCTGGTCATTAATGGGTATTATCAGGACAATATTGGGCAATATGTCAACAGTCCATCTATTGACTTTTTCGGAACCACTGAACATATGGTCTAGCATTGGCGGATTTAGATGGGGGCCGAGGGGGCCGCCCCCTATTTTTAACAACCAACAGAGCTTCGCGCCATCGGCGCTCGCGAACTTGGCCTTAGGCCAACTTATCGGCCCCCTTTTCCAGAATCCTAGATCCGCCCCTGTATAGAGAGACTGTGTAAGGTCCATCTCAGTTTTTGTTGAGGTTTTTTTTTGTTTCCTCCGCTGTTTTTTCTCGTTACAACATCTTGAGAAAACCGCTGAACGGAATGGTCTGAAATGTTCTATGATGATAGACTAATGTGACTTGGTTTACCTGACTTTTCGCATTTTGATTGGTCAATTAGTTCGATAGTGGCGATTTTGAACCCATTTCGGGGGGGGGGGGGTCTAGGCATTTTGATTATTATGTTGTAGCTTATTAGGATATTGGCAACATATTTCAAAAATAAATACTTCACAGGTCACGTGACTTGTTCAGAACCGTATTAACGTAAAAGGTGTTTTTAGCATCTATGTGTAAAAAAACACGGTGGTCACGTAGTTTAGCCGCCATATTGGATTTCTTCTAAACAGGAAGTAGTTTTTTGCTGATTATCTTTCAACTGTAAGATTTGATCCTTACGTTGAACGATAATTTTGTTTTCAAATATTCCTGGTAATGTTCCAGGTTCTTCGTGTAACGAGGTATTAGTATGCAATAGATTTTTCCACGGAAAAGAATTCAGCCGAATTTTGTTAGCAGTTAGTTTAATCATGTTACTCCAATGGATGGTTTGGCCGTGGCAATTTGTTATTTTTATCCTGATTTGTGGAAATCTGAAAAAAAAACACTTTCTTTTCATTTTGTTTCAAGTCGTATTCAAGATGGCTGCCCCCTTGTACCAAATATCGGCAAATAAATCGAATTTATTATCACGTGCACGCCAGCTGACTGTACGTGGGGTGTTCACGATTACTACATACAAAACACGCTCATTGATAATTTTCCAGATTAAAATGACCAAGATTTCTTCAAGCGATTCGTACAAATGTGAGGAATCATTGGACATTGCTGAGTCACACAATCGTTTTCATATGTCTGTGCAGTGACTACAAACACGACTCATGTATAGTCTGATAACGTGGCGTGTCAACAACGTTCAGCTTACCGTGTTATAATTAATTATATTGTGTTATGCGTCAGCCGTACATAATTAACTGTATTCTGTTTTATTTACAAGACTACAATCAGTTACCATAGAAACGAACAGATCGTGGACCATTTACATAGAAGCCAGGCGAAAAAGAAGTATATCTTACCCATTCATCACTTTGGAAGTGGTCCCAATTTCAATTACCTGCATTTCAGAATGACTCTCCTATTTGCCTTGTACACAAACCGGACCGCGGTTGAAAGTTGGTTCTATATCCACTTCAGTCAAAAACGTTCACTGGGTTGGAAATTTTTAAATGAAACATTTGATATTGACAAGATAAGGAATTTAATTGACGTGGCGTACATAGATGAATTCAAACGTGAATGTAACAGCACCGTAGATATGGTTATTATGTGGCCTTCGGATAGGGGTGACCGAGTATTCTGGTTTAATAAATATCGGGAACTATTCCAGAAGCTGCACCAGATCTACTTACCAGTATTGACTGACGCCATTGTCACATCTGACATCAGCGAGATGTTGAGACGTATTAGAAACGTTCGCTGTGTTGCTATGTACAAACCCTTGGAATTTTCAAAGTTAACTTTTCCGCAAAAAGACGAGCTACTACGGAACATTGACGTCCATCTTGATCGGCCTATTCAAGTGCAACACCTGGCTGACTTGCTCAGTCAAACTGTCTGTGGCGATCGTCCATATTTGGCATTGCACTTCAGGACCAAGGAGGAGGAGTGGTAAGTCTGCTTAATAATAAGTCATCGAACCCATATAAAACATGACTGTTCACATCACGTACAATAATATAACATTACAATCACATATACAATGATACTTGTTCAACATTTTAAATACGCGTCTATGACGTTTGTTCTAGACAATTACGTATTTAGACCAAAGATTTGTTTATACAATTCTGGTCCGCAATCTGCTCCAGTCTGAAATATTATCATCTAAATATTATAGCATTAAGTCTTTTACTCTCAAGTCGATCTCCTTGTGGTGATGCTGGTATGTTGATCTTAGAATTTACCGAATTATTGTCTTGTCTGTACTTATGTATGCAGCGAATTAATTATTTTAATTACATTAATTAATAGTATTTACATAGGCGACAATGTTTGGTTCGATGTCACTTATATCCCAACCTTTAGTTGAGCTTAATGATTGTCGGTTAGCTTTGAAAACAAATGATCAATCAATTTCGAGGGTTATAGAATGTAACTTGGTACTGTGTCTGATTACATGTAATTTATATTACCAAACACCAGCGAACAGTTGACATTTTATTATCAATGTCAATTTTTCAGTTCAGGAAAAAAAATGTTGAGGAAAGCGAAAACGTCTGTGGCCTCATTCCATTAGTCACATTTAACCGAACTTTCGCCAAACCAAAATCCGACAACGGGATGCAAACAACACTTACTACGTAAACGCCGTGGATCCGGAGTTACTCACCAGGGGAAAATCGGCACAATCAAGTTTTACCGTTTGAAGTCGATTACTGTGCAGTTCTCCTAGTTGAATTCAAAATGTATTCACCGTAACACCGAATTGGCCATTAATTAATTAATATATAGACCTATTTATCTTTCCTATTTTAATTAATTAGGTGTAAATATAAAATAGAGAAGTGTAATCCACAGAAAGTTTTAGCCACTAACGAATCAGCTGAAAGAATCGCAGAAGATATTGTGAAGTTGATGGCAATACGAAATATACCATGCATGTATATTGCACTGCCGTCTTACGCTAAAGTAAGTATCTGCAGTAATGCAGTGTTGATGATTGGCTGCAGAAACGTCATCACAAAAGTTATCTCGTAAATGAGAGTTGAGCCTCACAAATAAGTATAAGCAATAACGTTAAAACAGATTTATTAATTCGATATAATTGTTCCCTCAGTTTTATGAATAGATACTTTGATACATTCAACCTTAGAAATTAGGTATGATATGACTATGCACTCAACAGTCTCAATATTGGTTACAAACTCTACGAGTTATTTTGGAAGACATGGATATTTTTTTACTAATAATGCTATATTCGCCACATTCAGTTATGTTGCATATGACCGTTCATCGGTGATGTCTTCAATTCCAGTGTAATATTAATATATGTTTATGTCATTAATTCAAATCTTTGGCTGGGCTGTTGTCGGCAACCTATAGCCCAGCTGTTCCATCAACCAGTGATCCATTAAATTTTCAAGAGGTCGACAGCACTAAACTGCCGCATGGCAGCCCAAGGCATTGACCGTGGTATTGTTTAGGTGAAATAAAAAATGACCACCACAGCTAAATTGCCTAGACAGGTTACAGTTCATATCACAAACATCGGCGACTTACAAATCGTTTGATATTTTGTTATAAAAAAGAATGTTAAATATATTCATGCCAAGAAAAGTAGAAGACTTTGAAAAAAATCATGTCCAATTTACGTGAACTATTTACAGGACATTAAAAACCAGAAGTTGCTCAATGGCCTCGTCCTAAAAAACATATGAATTGCTATTTACCGAATGTCACGCGTTTCATGCTGTTTTGAAGCTTCTTGGTGACGTTAATGTTGTTTGTGTGCTAAGAAGTAGAACTTCATAATGTCAAACTGAAATGGTGTTTTTTTTTTATTTTCACTTAGAATTATAAACATATTTTTGAAAAGAAAATGTCCAACGTTTACACCAGAAGAGATATAATGCAGAGTAATTCGTCTTTGTTGGCGGATATCGCACGTGACAGTTATATAATGTCACTATTGGAACAAGAATTGTGCATACGTAAGCTTTTTATATATTTGCTTGTTTATTATATGGCACGCCCTCTAAAGACAATGTGCGTATGTGGATGCAAATGACTCTATTAACGTCGTTTATACTGATTTGATGTGTGGTCGTCCGTTACTAAAAAAAGATTACGTTTCAAAAGATTGTCTAAATTCTGGATGACGAACGGCTACACAAGTTGACAAAGTCTATCGGAATGACATTTCTTACGTCACTGTGTCGTCAAGGTAGTTCTTCGTCGCTAGAGGGCGCTTACTGTATACTGTACACGCGCTAGTATATTTTAACTACTGTCGAAGACTTTATTTTAGCTGGAATTAATTTTCGCTGAAAAGGCTTTTTGTGTGTTTTGTATGGAATGTATTTCCACTGATTTTTGATGAGTTGAATGTGAAATATAGGAAAAAAGTATATTCGCTGGATTTTATTTTCACTGAATCATTCCTTCACCGAAAATAATAAAGTATTCTACAGTATGTGAAGTAGAAAACTGACAAGAAGACACCATACCATACAAGGTAAAATCGATGTCTGCTACAAGAACAACGTTTAATCATCATCCATTGTTTCTATCAAATACTATATCTAACTAAATTATTTAAGATCTTCAAAAACAATCAAAGTAATTTACGGCTTCTCTTTAATTGCAATATGTATCCCACATTGTAGGAGTATAACGACATTCTTTATATGTTCTACAGGTTCCAAGCTATTTGTCGCATGGGTATTTTCATATTGGTCCCAAATGGTTGTTATGAAAAGAGAGATAATTTCAGCAGAATCGATCAACATAAAGGAACTAGCAGGCTGGGACACAGAACATTTACATTTAGTGAAATGAAAAGAAACAAATTACATCAATATCAGTTATTTGAAGAGTTCACAGTGACTTTATTTACCAACGTTTTTCGGGGTTGTCCTAGAATTCTTACTTTGAACTTGAAATGGACACCCCCGTGTTATGTTGTATCAAAAGATGTAACGCATCGATCGTTTCAAGAACGGACATCCCAGGCTTTGGTCTGTTAGCTGGAAACATAATCACAGCACTTCCTATGATCGGATATCCATGATATTACTAGTATGTCGCATAAATGATTAAAATTGACACTTGGAAGTGGGTAAAATTCGCCGTCCTGTTGATTTGGGGGAAGTTTATCAGGTGGTTTGCTTTTGCTGGACAATCTGCCACAGTTTCCACTATATTAAAACATGTTCAGTGATGACGATTCTCACTGTGTTTATGAATATTACAAGACTGTGAACACAAATATAGTATCGTCAAGAGTTGTTCGATATGCCTAAGTACACGTCCACTCAGACGCACGTGCTACATTGAGAATATAAATACATGTACATCCATGTTATAGTAAAGTAAATTACAATTTCGGAATTTAATGTGCACTGTATTGTAATAATAATTTTGTATTGCCTGGAAATAATAAACATACATTTTTAATATAATAACACTTTTTCGAATATAAATGTACAGTTCTAGAATTTAATTTAATTTTTGAAATACATGTATTTCCGTATTTTCGGTGAATATTCAACACCCGACCTGTCATAGTATATACGGGCAATTAATTGTCAATGCAAATTTGTATTTCCAATGCGACAGTCTATTATAAGGCATTCATTGGTCTACATCACGACTGGCTAACACATACATGTCTGGGTTGAGACTCAATAAATGAATCCTGTAATTATATAATTCGGGCACGTCTGGATCTAAATGAAACCCCTTCCCCCACGCGCGACCCGGGCTATATTTCTAACTGATCTTTTTTTATTCGATCAATGTTTGTAGGACCTTATTTTCTGGTTGACTGTCAATTTGCTTTCAAATTTATCACTATATCCACATCGTTACATTAATAATTGGGCGTTACTACAGTTATTTTAATGATTTATTACAAATTTTATGAATTTTATTAAGGTTAATATTTTATTAACAGAGCACACAATAATATGATTCATAATGGTGCGTATACTGAAATTCAAATGCAAGTGACTTTGGTATTCTTTGAATATATAGTCGAACACAAGCATTTCTGCACACACGCCTTCTACGGCCATAGAAGGCCGGTCGTAAGTGTTACATATGCTGGACTCTGATGACAGACGCAGGAATTATATCTCTGTCAATTTTTAACAGAATATAAGTTTCCCATTTATTTTGGCGATATTATAATTTCGCTATATTTAATGCTCGAATTAAAATTCATATCGATTGATACATTGTAATAGAAAACTGACGAAAGTATTTACTTCTGAGCATCTACATTACACACTATTACAGTACTCCCAGCATATGAAATATGCGTATGTCAGCTGCGGCATACATAATTCAGTTTTTGATAATCTCTTATTAATCTTTGGACAGTATGTACACGTTAATCATTGCGTATATTAACTATGGGAACGTTGAACGCTACCGTCTCGCATCTCCTAGTGTCTTTACTATGCGTCTCTACTGTACTGTATTGTGCCATCTATTTGGGACTTGATCGAATAAATTCCGACCATATAGAAGGCTTCGTCATCAAGAACGTAACAACGTATGAACTTGACGAAGTAGAGTTAACTACTGCCCCAGTTCGCGGAGTGACTGGCTTTGGGTATTCGCGTATTCGCAACAGCAGTGACACGACCAGTGACACACCTATGTTAATTTCAAGCACGATTACTGTCAACCATAGCTCGGTAAGGTACTTGCTCATAATGTGTAAATAAAAACAAAAACGCTACTCGCCAGAGCTTTGAATTACTGTCGTATATCTACTATATATACTAATTTTCTTCTACTTTATTTCAAAGATTACTGTCAGCTACCATCGAAACAAGCATGATATGAATCATGTACATATTAATCAAATGAAAAAGAAGTATATCTTACCCATTCATCACTTTGTAAGTGGTCCCAATTTCCACTACCTGCATTTCAGAATGGCTCTCCTATTTGCCTTGTACACAAACAGGACCGTGGTTGAAAGTTGGTTCCTTATTCATTTCAGTCAAAAAAAATCGCTGGGTTGGAGGTTTTTAAATGAAACATTTGATATTGACAGTCTGAGGAATTTACTTGACGTGGCGTACATAGATGAATTCAAACGTGAATGCAACAACACTGTAGATATGGTTATTATGTGGCCCTCAGATCGGCCTAACCTTGAGTTGAATTATAATAAATATGAACAACTTTTCGCGGATTTGCATCAAATAAACCTGCCAGTGCTGTCTAAAGCAGTTATCTCATCGAACATCAGTCATATAATGACACGTCTAAAAAATGTACACTGTGCCGCAATGTATTACCCATGGGACTTTGCAAAGTTTACATTTCCACAAAAGGATAATCTGCTTCGGAAAATTGACATTCACCTTTCACGAACTATTTCAATGCAACACATGGCTGACTTGGTTACTAAAATAATCTGTGACGGTCGTCCGTATTTGGCATTGCACTTCAGGGCGAAGGCAGAGGAATGGTAAGAATGGATTTACTTTATATATATTACAGTACGCCCCCTCCCCGCCCCGTGTAATGCACATGTGCTTTGAACACATGCATCTGATGAATCGACATTAACTTATCAATATATCGGATCTCGATCTTAAATGTAAATATTATATATATAATATAATGATTTCAATAAAAAGTAAGCTCAAGTTCAAAATGGTGACCTCGTGTGCAGGTGGTAATGTGGCCTAGTTTTTTTTACTGGTGATCCATACCCAAAACTAAAACAGTTTTATTCTGTACAGTCAACGCGAGTGTTCCCATTCATCCCCATTGTGCCATGAGAATTGGTTAATCTCTGAGACATGAATATGTGTAATGTGATGTAATGTAATGTAATGTAATGTAATGTAATGTAATGTAATGTAATGTAATGTAATGTTATGTAATGTTATGTTATGTTATGTCATGTTATACTGCATTCATTTTGTATTACTTGAATACAGTTGTTCATTTTTTAAATATTGTTTTGGCCTATACCTTTTTCACTGATATGCTCGTGAATATATATGTATAAAACATCCCATTTAACTTCTTAGTTGGGTACAATGTGTTCATATATCTTGATGATTGATTTGACCATAAATACAGTTTTGTATTAAACACAATTCAAGTATCTCTTCAAATTTGAAACCATACGGACCATTCATGTTATCTTTAGTAAAAATGAATGACCGCTACGCGCACTAGCGAAAGGTTACACGTTCTGTACAAATCACAACTCGGGGAGAAAAAGGTTTAGTCATACCCAGTGGTATTGGATTATGCTAATGGGAAGGCTAAACAAACCCAATTGATGTTTAATGTTTCAAATTATCTATTTATTAGAACGGGTGCAAGCCGAAATATGGTATTCTCGAGAGCAAATATCCGGGCATTTTCACCACTTGGTGACCACAACCGGTAAAAACAACAGTCGAAAACTCTTAAAAACAGTATAACAAGAATACGCCTACTTGTGCAACATATATAAATTTGGTTCGGGATTGTCACATAGTTGAGTCTGTGCTGTTTTCACCGGCTCTTCGACCGGCGTTTCACAGCAGCTTACACAGAGCCCATAAAATAGTAGTGTGGTGCACGTCTTGGCAACATAGAACGGTCTGTGACGTATCTCCACGCGGGGAATAGATTTATTTTCATCAAGTTGCGCAAGCGCGCACAGTGCATATTTGTCAGTATACTTCCAAAATTCAGCCAATGGAGAGGCTATAAACATTCCATATGATGAATCTTCCTAATCATGATTACACGTGATGTCGGCTTCCACTATGAAAGAAAGGGACATCGTTGATGCTGACAAAACATAAAGGGAGTTCCGTACAAAAATTGTATTGTATTGACGAAATTTTTGATTGATTATTCGGACTCATTGAATATCGTATGTCAGGTGATAATAATGAAATTATTACTTTTTAATTTCTAATTAGGTGTAAGTATAATATGGTAGAGTGCGATCCGGAGAAAATTATGGGAACTGAAGAATCTGCTGAACGTGTATCAGAAGATATTGTGAACTTGATGGAGACACGGAACATATCGTGCATGTATATCGCACTTCCACCATTTGCAAGAGTAAGTGAATTAATATATGCATTATTAAATATACAGCCTAATAACAAATAGTTTACATTAATACTTCCATCATATATTTGCATTATGCAATTATATGCATTGGTTATTGGGATTTGAATCACTAACTAATTTGTTAATATTCTTCGGTTTTGTGTGACATTTCTCCAGAGATATGCATTATTTATTTATTATTTTTTCTTTTCAGAAATATAAATATGTGTTTCAAAAGCGCATTCCTAACATTTTCACACGGGAAGATGTAAGGAAAAATAGTCCATTGCTGGTCACAGATGCCATGCGTGACAACTACAATATATCACTCTTAGAACAGGAATTATGTATACGTAAGCTTTTTCTCTTTTATCTATGTGCGTGTGTTAAAATGTTTGCTATGTTATGCGATGGTAGATCATAATCTGTACATCCCTGGTTAACATCAACTGTGAGTGTACTATTCATCATAATGTTCTGGGTTTAATTAAACATAGATGAATTGGTATTCGTTATTATAATGCATTCTGACAAACAAAGTGATTCAAACGCTATATTCAAACGTTTATTCAAAAAAGACATCAAACAGGAATATTATTTACAACAGTTAACTGATAGTCAAGCAGTTCTAACAATGAGCAAATTTAGAAATAGCTGCCATCAACTGTACATAGAAGTGGGTAGACGCACAAAACCAAAAATTCAAAACAGGAAATGTGACAAATGTAACATGATTGAGGATGAAATCCATTTCATCACTGAGTGTGATCTCTATACAGAAAATAGACAAGAATTATATAGTCTATTCTCCAATCCACATTTCAAAAATTACAACAACAAAGATCAATTTATACACATTTTATGTCTACTCGGGTTATTAAATTACATACAGAAAGCTTACAAAACAAGAAAAGAAAAGGTGATAATTAATTAATGTATTGTTGTGCTATATTTTCAGTGTGATTTAGTTGTTGTTTATTTGAAGTCTATTATTGTATTGTATGTGTGGTTTAATTGTAGCTTATTTTAAAAAGCTTTAATACAGCAATTACCAAAACTGAAATGTCAGATTTCATTAAGAATGTAATAAAGCATTATTCTATTTTATTCTATTCTATAGACCAAATCATGACAATTGCGAATAACCAAGTATTTTGGGGAGCCACTAAGCTCAACCTACTTGTTGCATGACGGATATCTACTGTGACAATATTTATAATTTATGAACAATACGATATAAATACGCCTTCCCCATGAAAGACTTGAATATAATTAGAGAGTACAAAGATATCAGTGCAGACATACTGCATCACTAATGTAGTAGAATGAAGATGTCTAACGGATTTCCTTATATGTTCTGCTAAACAGGTTCCAAGTTTTTCATCTCTTGGGTTTATTCATACTGGTCGCAAATGGTTGTTATGAAAAGGGACGTCATCTCAGCAGAATCGATCAACATAAAGCAACTCCCTGGCTGGGATACAAAGCATTTACATTTAGTCAAATGAAAAATAAGGAGGTCACAGTCGATATAATACAAATAATACAACACACAAATAGGTTAATTGAAACCAAAAACAAAGAGAATCAGTCATCAGTTTTCTTCAAACGAGTATTTTCTCGTAATTCTACCAGTTACCGTACACGAGCAGAACAGATCTGTTGGCGAGTGTAACTGTGATGAGTGTGATGGAATACACAAAGACTACTCCATGGAAATATCAACTATATTGTGTTTAGTTTACCCAAAGCGTCTGGTTAATTAGTAACCATTTTATGCATATTATTTTCTTGTCCTAGCAGCTTTTAATTTTTTACTTAAATTACTGTACTTTCTGTGCCAAAAATGATCCAAATGAGTATTTGTTTTTCATATTAAATTACTAATATTTTATGGGGATGATTTGAAACAATAAATAATTGATATAATTTAATCGTAATTTCAAAGCTTCAAGCCAAATACTTGAATTTCCCGAATGATAATTTGAAATTTTACATAGTGAAATTTTACCAATATACAATGTTGAGCATTGGATAAACTCAATTGTACTAATCGTTGTAATAAGAGTTTCAGCTGCAGTTAGAAAAAATAGCACTCAGGTGTCAATAAAATCGGTTTTCTGTGGGAAGAGGAAAGTTCTACGATCATGCTAGAGAGACGGGTTGCCTGGCAGGCCCAGTGTACTAGCTTTGCTACTAACAATGACGAAAAAATCATGGTCGTGCCGGCCAATATGGCAGGACTGTTGTTATCTGCCACTCAATTTTATGATCGAGTGTCTTGTCGACCACACTATTCCTCACCCCAGCCATAATTATCTTCTTGCTGCACCAGAGCAACTGGGCAGGGCAGCTTCTCCACCAGTTGGCTTAACGTAAGGGATTGTTTTGTAATGCAAGCCAATACTAGAGATGAGTTGTCACATTAGACTAGAACCTTATTCTTTTGTACCTAATCCAGTAAGCGAGCTGGCACTCTCTTAATGGCCATCATCTCAAGAATTAAACATTGAAGTCTTATGTCCAGCAGCCACTTGATACATTATTTTGGTAAATTCATTTGCCAAGTGCCTATTACACTGCCACAAGTGTTTCATTCATTGAAAGACTATTGCAGATTATATTCTACATATGTGGAAAAAAGCTGGTTGTAGTTAGTTCAAGAAATGATGAACTTTGTTTTAAAAAAATCTTGAACTATCTGTATGAAGAACGCAAAATGCAAACCTATGAGATAAATAATATATCCACCCAAGTTAATTTCATCTAGCCATGAAGTGTTTCTGTGATGTTAAATGATTGACAGAAAGACTACTCATTTCAATATCTTTATTGCTACCGTACTGATGAACAGATGGATTCTGGATTCCCACATTTTTTTCTACTAGATGTTTATCTCCATCAGAAATATCAAAATAAGTTTGACGATATTTGAAAAAAAATATACTAAGTTATTTAGAACTCATTTTTATAGAAAAGTACAGGTGCTTTGAGGAAAATTGACATCAAATTGGAAACTGTTTCTTTCCAAAAAATACAAGTCATGATTAAATTCACTTGAAAAAGATACTCAAAATCAATTTATTTTTGAAATGGAAATTACACAAGAGTTCAAGTTGATTGCAATCAATTAACATAAAAGACACTGTAAATATACAACGAACACAAACTAATAGAGAAGGCAACACTTTTATAATCATAAATAAGTATTGTATGCACGTACAAACTTTTTTATTTGGATTTACTTTTTGGGCTTATGATTGCATAATATAGTCGAAAAATATCTCTGTATTGTTCCAATAGTGTACATGCAGCAAGTTTTGTACATTTTGTTTTCAAGATACAATTTGAAAACCATGTACTTATAAAATATCTGTATGTATATAAATATAACTTAATGTAGTTTATTGAGCTGTGTTCAATCAAACAGTCTGTCTAGTCTTCATCACTCCATGTATCTTGAACTGCATTTCCAACGGTTGAACTTGATTGCTTCTGTAAATAAAAACATGACTATTAAACAAAATACATAAACAGAAGAACTACCTAAAACACAAGTATTTTTTGAAGTGGAGATATAAAATGGTGAATACACTAATAGTTTGAATTCCAAGATTTCCAAAAATAATTAATTAATAAATAATTTTATGTTTGAAATTCCTGTAAAAGTAGCTAATGTGCATGAATGTTATGAACAGAACTTCTTTCTTATAGCTGTCTATGTCAAAATTAGAATAACAGCATAGCTATTGGTTACTAGGTTGAATCATGTGATATATTTACTTGTAACCATTAAAAAAGGAATTTGTTACACTGAGATGAAGATTACCACAGTAACAATTATTTATATTAAAGTTATACTAAAATGTTTAAAATTGCAAAAAAAAAGTGATTCTCTATAAAAGATGTATGCTTGGCTACTCAGATTACAAAATGGACACAGTACTGTTAGTCAGATGAAGAGTAGTCGCTGATTATTTTACAATGATCTTACAGCATTTGCAGTAACATCTTACAAATGTGACACAGAATACGTCTTGAAAGATAATTTTCTGTATTAAGTGTACAAGATCAGACTTGACTTTGGCGAAAATAATTAATCTTACATTGTCTTTCTTCTCAGCCACATCTGTTTTTTGTCCCAGTTCTGGTTCCCATATTAATATATTGCTATCATTACCAGCACTGTACAGCTCCTGCGAACACAGATAAATCTGAATGACTTTTCGTGTTTACACTCAAAGTAATGTATTCAAGTGAAAAAAAAAACACGAAATTATGTCAATCAGTTAGTACACTACAATATTTCAAGTTTGTAAATATTCTCCATTAACTTGCGACAAAGTAAGTCCGGAAAGTACTGAACACATTATAATGCACTTTAAAATTATCATATAACCTTCAGTTGAACCCATTGAGTGCTAAAAGTCGATTATTGTTGCCTTTCACATACTAAAACCCCCATTTTTGTCATATTTTTCCAAAACTTTGTTAAAGCGAAAGGGTCGTCACCTGTGCACGTGCGGGAATTGGGTCCCAAGCGACGATAAAAACACACGCCTAAAACGCAAAGGCTCATGGGTAGACACTTGTTTGTAAACAATGATATGCTATGGCCATCTGACGCATGCGCAGGTGACAACTCCCTCGCTTTAAGGTCTATAGAAATAGTAAATAATGGCTACTTGGGCCAAAATTATCAAAACAACTAGAAAAAAATACATAAAAATATGAAATATGCATTGTCGGGAAAGTTTACGACACTCAAAATGTTAATCAAAATATTACACTCGCTTTATGGCATATCCCATAGGCTACTATGGTTAGGATCCTGTATAAAATCACAGTACAATAAACTCCTGTATAGTGGAATGATTTAGCCGTCCACTTACGTTTGACATACACATACGCCTGCCAAAACATCATTCTGACTAAAAGCACTACAACAGACAGGTTTTTGAACACAAACTCCATCAAAACAACATCTGAAATATGTTGCCAACCTCAAGTACTGTAAATCATGTTGAAAAAGCCACATACTATTTTAACGAATTGTGGTAAAATGACGTAATAGCAAACTGTTGATTTAGCAAATCTCTCTTCTCTTTGTTGGTTTCCTATTTTTACAATAGTTGTTTGTCGCCGGCCAAAACAAATGCGCAGTTATCATCTCCATAAAAACAAAGAAAAACTGTCAAGTGTAATAAGAAAGCACTCCAGATTATGACGTTTTCTGTGTTGTTTACAAAGTGTGTGTGTGGAGAAAAAGACGTTGTTTGACCGCCATTTTGAATTTAAAATTAAGTCATTAGTGACATCTTAAATTATCGAACTAGTTCTCTCGCTAAATTCGCGAAAAAAAAGACATGTTTTACAGTATATAATATGCTAGTACTCCACAGCATAGGTTCATATACATTTATCAATTTGAACAAATGAAAAATGCTATAAAGAATGTATTTGAAATTAAATGTTTCATTCATGGAAACTTATTAAGTTTTATTAAGACATGGCTAGGTATGTGTGTTAATCTCTTTAACAAGACAAGAGAATTTAGAGATGCATATAGATACCTGGTATAAAGGATGGAATGTACAGCAATTGACGTTATTATAGTGGCCGATTAGAGTAGCAACGTACTCTCCAGTGTAGATATCAAATACAGCAATGTTACTGCCCATAGGCACAAACGCCACGTCAGGTGACCCTCCGTAAGATACTGTGAACTTTGAACCTTTACGACTGACATTGTCAACTTTCCCATAGTTTACCTATATAGTGGAAATAATGTATGCAAAATTTATGTTAATATTAGTCCTAAATAATTATTTACACTCATGTGACAGACATGATACAAAGTAGAGCAAGTTTATTTGTGCGATTCCTTCCTTTATTCTGCCCATGGCATTCAAAATGCATTTTTTGTGCAAAAATGATGATCAGTCATCTTCAATCAGATTTTGAAACAGATGCATGTGCGAATGTGTTACATGATGTAAGTGTAAAGTTTGAACATGTTCAGATCAGCCATGTTAGCAATAATATGGCTCCTAAAACAGCATTTGTTAAAATCATCAGTCAGCCATTTTGAATAGAATCTAAGAAAAAAACATGCACCAGGGACCCATTATGTTTAATGGGCATACCAAGTTTGAATGAAATATTGTCTATGCACAACCAAGATCCAGTTCCGGAATAGCAGAAATGCTAGATTTAGATGAATTTTCAGCACTAAAATGGCCGCCATGTGGCCATCTTCAATTGGATCATGAAACAAATGCATGTATGAAATGACGTGTGATGTATGTGTAAAGTTAGCATTATGCATTATGTTTGTCATTGTTTTAACCACAGAATTAACCTTCCAGAAGCAGTAAGACAGTAAGTTTGACTAACCAGTGTGTTTTTCCCAGACATCGTATCCCAAAGTCTCAGCCGGTCATCTGTGCCAAAACTTACTAGATACAGGCCATCACTTGTGAAGGAAAGTCCATTCACATGACCATTATGAGCTGTGTTCACTATGAGTAAAAAATACATGTACAATGAACTGAGGTATGGTATGGCGGTTGGAGAACACACTGGTTGGTAAGAACTAGTCGTTTGCAGGAGATGGGAAAAGAATGACATTGTCTTTTTGACATAATAACTGTTAATAAAACAACATACATTATCACAGTAGATCATAAGATAGTTCTGATCCACGCTCAACAAACATTGTCAGACATGCTCATGTTGGTCAGCAAAAATATAAATATATTATGTCATGGTAACATAAACACAAATAAATAACATACTGCAAAGCATACATGTAAAAAACAAAAACTATAACACAGATGCATATTTTTTTTTTAAATGTGCTTTTTTACTTGCTATCCTACCTTATCCATATTTGGATAGGTATATAATACTACATGACCACATCCACAATGCATAGGTGCTATAGACAGTGATTAACATAAACTAATGCATGAATATCACAATTAATCAAATAAATTAATTAATACCTGCTTCTGTTGATCCTTTTCCTTTTTCTCCATTATGTTGGTCCAGAATTGACAAGCAGCTCTTAGCTCTCCGTACGTCCCATAGCATTATTTTACTGTCTCGACTGTGTGTGAAAGACAAATATAATTTATACAAGAACTAGACCTTAGCATATAAAGTACCAGAAAGAAGAATGGTCAGCTTATATAAGGAGAGATACTGTCTGTTGGCAGATAACGTATTCATATTGCTGCAGCATGAATTATTCCCTGTTTTTATGCTATGAACACACCTCAATTTGTGAGCATTACAGCAATGTGCATTTCACAAGTAGTATGGCACCTAATATCAAACACACATGACATGGCAGTACTGCATTAAGATTAGTAACTTCTAAGAAAACATTGTCTGTTTTGCAAACAATATGTGAACTATTTATTCAATACCTTTTAACCTAAATTTCCAGACATTTTCTTTTCATGGTTATTTATATATAATTTCTTTTGATACATTTTGTGGCTTGTATTTGACTGTACATAATTTTTCAAATAAAATCACTTTTAAATGAAAAATGAGATTATTTATGGTTCATATACTGTAAAAAACTTTATTTTCGCTTGGAATTTATTTTCGCTTCATGGATGATTCTGTGAATATAAAAACCCAGCGAATATTTCTTTGTTCCTATATTTTACATTCAAAACATTAGTGAAAACAAATTCCATACAAAACATGAAAAACAATTTTTCAGCGAAAATGAATTCTAGCTAAAATAAAGTATTTCACAGTATTACTATATCACAAGACACTTGTATGAAGTTGAATGACAACATTTTCTCATTTTTTCTCCATAAAAGAAACCGGAGTTTCAATATTTCAATTACCGATACTATTAAAAAAAAATATATTTTTAATTTCACAGACTACACAGTGGATTAGTCACTGAAACATAACTGTAATAAATTATTCAGATGATAGATAGACTAGATCATACATTAGCAATATTATAATCCATAAAAGTGTATTTACATATTTTAAAGGTTTTTAAAAAGTTAAACAAAAAATTAATGAAATCGAAACTTTGTACATGATGGGCAAGATGTTTAAGTAATCAATTTAGGCCAGCTCACAAAAAACATGATTTATGACATGGACATGGAAGTCCCCTACAACCACACATACATGCATGTACATGCCAATGTTCCCTGTGCAATGTCCTCTATACTAGTAAGCAATATATTTTACCTTCCACTTGCTAGCAAGAATTCATCTCTTGGTGACCATTTTACTGAGAGTACAGACGCTTTATGTCCCCGAAGAACATGAGTTGACGATCCTGATTTGAGATCACAAAGAACAACCTGAGAATGGATGGTACCAACTGTAAATAAAAAAAAAAAATAATATGACCAACCATAATACTAATTTGTTTTCTTTTATTTTCTGTGTTGCATTTGGATAAACATTTATTTTCCTAAATTCTTTTTTAAAAATAAACAAATGCATATTTAATCACCTGCTATAAGACAATGTTTTGTTGCCACGGATGACATATTATGATCATAAACTATGGTTTCAAACCGGAACACATCAGCTGGTTTCAACGCATTGGTATCCCACACTTTTAAAGTTTTATCCATGGAGCTTGAAGTGAATAGACCAGTGTCATGTGAATACCATTGCACTGTGTCTACACTGTATTTGTGAACATGACGAGAAGATCTAAAAAAAATAAAAGGATTATGAAGTTGGCTACAATACTGGCACAAGAAATTCCATGGCATAGGTAATCAAGCCTTGCTATCGGTACTTAGAGCAAAGCCCTTCCCTCTTGCTTCTCCAGGAGAAGTTAAAAAATGATACATGATGCAGTTTTAATTTATTTTTGTTGTATTAGGATTATTTAATACTACAAGTAGAAGATATATTTTCAACCTTGAGCATTTAATACATAATGCTTTCGAATACATGCATTAAAGGTTGATTATGATGACAAAAACATGCTCCAAAACAGAAAACAAACTTTTCCCCATTCTACACACTTTACACTGACATGTATGCAAAATTGCCAAAAAAACTGACGTGCAAGATGACACGAAACCTAACCCAAAGTATCCTAAACACGGGTCCTACTATTTAACGCCCGGACACGCGAGGGAGTGTCCGGGCACGCGTGGAGGCGAACAGGAGGGAATACCTAACGCGCGGGGCAGCGGCAGCAATCCTTGTACTGTATAATATTCGTTTATGCTCAAAATTTGAACCAGAGTGGCGAATTCGAGCAGCTATCCACACTTTTTATGATCGGCGCCCGGGCATTCCGGCGAGTCGAGTCCGCCATGTTGTTTACTAATTTTGGTTAATTTCATTTGAAGCAATCAGTTGGAAGTGATCCAAAATTGGAATCAAAGGTTGAAGACAGTAACTTGAGTAAAGCAATGTATGAATACGCATGATATCTGGTCTATACTTACCGTCCAATAGTGCAGACTGATGGACAGGTGTAATTTTCCTGTGGTCTACATTCTAAATCGCATATAACAATCACACCCTCAGTTCCACCAGATAATAAGCTATCAAAAAAAGTAGGATTATATATGTCAATGTAAATATGAAACTAGCCTTCTAATGATCATTTTATATAGTTTAATTTTATCATTACAACATTTTTTATTTGGAGTATATTTTTACACTGATTCTTTATGAGTTGAATGTCACATTCCCTGTTGTCTAGAGTAATCTTCCCAAGTATGTCCTGAATATTTTAAGAAAGCAACGTCGGCTTATAGCCAGCTTGGACTGTAATGTACGTCAAACCAGCTTGGGCCTATCCAAACACCAATTTAAGAATTTTACTATAAATATTATAAAAATCAGTAAAATGGGTGACCATTTGTTTACACACAGGACCGCACCATCCTGACACAGAACAACCTTTGTGTTCATGAAATTAAGGTAATTTACACCTCAAACAATGGTCATTTCTAGACTAGCCTACAGAGAGATTATCCATATTATGCGTCTTATAGTTGTTCAAAGACAAAAAAAATAGATTAGAATTGCTTGAGATTGTTCAGTCATTAGATCATAACTGAAACTGTCTAATTTGTTTTGCAAGATGATCATAAAGCATATAGGGTATAATCAGATATACATGTAGTATATTCTTAACCACGAGTTCAGGACTGTTTTGTGGCTTCTTCGTACTAACAGGGAATGTGTTCTTGTCTTGATAATTATTGACAATTTAAATTTTAGTTCAATTGAAATTGGTTGTTGTTCAATAACGTAGCCGAGGACTTGAACAACAAGTTCGGTGTGCCTGCACGGTCTTTCTCAGCCTAATACATTCAACTACGGCGAGTAAAAAAGACCGCGATTCGCACGGTGTGGACACTGTAAAGAACTGTCCCAAATAAATACTATAATCGAATTCCCATACTTAAATGTTCGTTGACATGAGCAAACTTACTATCTTCCCTCAACTGGGTCGATATCCAGTGTGTTGACTCCACTATCGTGAATTCGTTGCACATCTCTGTCTTTACTCAGTTCCAAACTGAAGATCCTCCGAGTCGCTTCAGCTCTTGACAAAGCACTCGGCCGATGAGTCCCGTTTTCTCGCGCGGAGAGAAAGCTTAGCATTCCCACACATAATCTGTGAGAAATACTTTATGAAAAGTATGATATTTAACAATCAACAATTCACAATTTTTTTGCTGACACAGGGATTTCGAGATATTACTTCCGCACACAATCCTCAAATATCGTCTTTGTCAGCCATTATCCAGTGACCCTCGACCTGCCTGACGCCGACCAATCACATTCGCTTCTTCGGTCAACCGGAAGTATTGAAATATCAGCTGGAGTGAAGTGGTTCACAGTTCTGGTACCGGGGTTGTTTATCATTCAGTGGATATTATTTTAGGCAACAATGAATTTTCTGCGGTCATTATTTGGTTCAGGTCGGGCAGCAAAATACGTAAAACAATTCGTAGGTTCAGATCACCTAGGAAATAAATATTATGAGATTCAATCAAGAACAACTGCATTTGGTGAGTATGTAATCTGAATTTAGAAACACGGTGTGCTGCCACCTATAGGGTTTTGTGAAAAAAGAAAACTGGATTTGTCGAGGGTTAGAGTAAAATAAAAATTGCACAATGGTGAATAAACAAATGGGCGAATGCAAATAAAAACAAAAATAATAACCATCATAATAGAATTCCCCACAAAAAATTTTGCAATCCAAACAAGAGAAATCAACATTTCTCTTGTTTAAATGAGATTAGTGATTACGGTATGGTGTGGTAAGTATGATAAGTATTATTTTTATTTATTTATATGTAGGCTCATGTGGAGTAGGCTAAACGCAGTGATCATGATTCTGGGTCTTTCTTTTCCTTTATTAGGTGGACAGAGAAAAGCACGAAGATTAGTAGAACTATCAACAAAATTCCATGAATACGAGCCAGATTCAATTCCGATAGAGTGGGATTGTGAGTACATGTCTATACAATAAATGTTCTTGCACTGCTGAATAATGTCACATAGAGGATTTGTTAGGTCAAGAAAAAATAATCAGAAACTTGAATATTTAATTTCTGTAGCCAGAAGTAGTTGGCGATCTCCAACTATTGATGACAGTAGCTTCAAATAACATGAACGACTGGGTTGAGCGTGATGCAAAGTTCATGTGTTAGTCACTAAAAATTCCTTTACAATATCTTCGACCTGAAAAATCTGGATAAACGAGATTTACAGAAAGTGTAATTAGATGGCATGTTTAAACATAATGAAAACAACAATAAACTGATTTTCAAATAAATTTCACCATTCTCAGTAATGTGTGTGTTACTTTATGATACTCGCGTGTACATGTAGAGATGCATCAATATAATTTTAATATTGTAAAATACTTTGTTTTCGTTAGAGGAATGATTCAGTGAAAATAAAATCCAGCGAATATACCTTTTTTCCTATACTTTATATTCAACTCGTCACAAATCAGTGAAAATTCATTCCATACAAAACACCCAAAAAGTCTTTTCAGCGAAAATTAATTCCAGCTAAAATAAGGTATTTTACAGTAGTACATTAATGAAAATGGCCGCCAAAATCTCTTGAAGCCACAAGACTTGTTTTTGAACCCCAACCACTGTTCAATTCTCTACAATGATTATGTCCACTCTTCCAAATACCAAGGTTTCCATGGTGATGGGAACAGTGGACGCAATGTCAGTAGAGAATGCAACACTATCTGGGAGACAAAAGTCACTTGACTCCATGAGATCTCGGCAGCCATTTACAAATAATGTGTATTCTGTAATAATCAGGATTATTTCATTACAACATAGCATGGATCAGGAGAAAAAGAGACAACCCACCGACAATGGAAGAGGTTTTTGGTAGAGAGAAGAACACAGAAATCAGAAAAACTCGAGCCATGGAAGTCGACCAGCGAGACAAAGAGGTATAATACACCTACGCATGAAGTCATGCCCTCAAGTGACGAAACAATTCAATGACATGAAAATGATTTTGATAGGTGAAAGCATTGTCCTTCAAAATGACAACTCTAGCAGTGAGGCATCCATCATTTACAATATATAGCAATTCTTGATAAAACGTTATTTTTTACATTAAATCATTGTGGTTAGAGATTTTCATGACATCATCCCAAAGTATATTCGTTTCTAAATTTGTTTAATTCTGATGATGATTTATAGCAACAATAATGAAACGCCAACAGTGTCATATTGGATTTGGAGAGGGATCCAGACATCACAATGTGTTCAGCGTCGCCTAACACAATACCTTGCCATGGACCCTTCTCCTTATCCAACTATGGGGGATTCATTAAAGTTTAAATAAAGGGCAACAACAGATCAATACAGATAAGGTGAACAGTGTCCATTACACCCATTTACATCATGGATGCACTTTGTCACTATAGGGCACGACTACTGGTAAAATAAGAGATATATTATTACTTTATAATGAAATACAACAAATCCTGACTTTGCTGGCCATCAACATTCACCTCACTACTATGGCAGATACTGTTCAGCCAGTGTGTGTTTTAAAGTCTGCCCTCTCTGGCAAGCTGCTGCTCTCCTAAATGATGACCAATTTTTTTCTATTTGCAATGTCTACCATTCTTTTACGTCATACTATTATTATTATTGTGCATCATCTTAGTTTTTTAGCTTTATAAGTTTCCACCAAATTCTTCAGGCCACTCTTCATGGAGTTTTCAAAGGAAGATCTCTTACTGGAACTTATGTATTTAAATTTCAGTGGGCTCAATCTTAGAAAATAGGGACATGTAACTTCTACAGAGACAAAATAAAATCCAGTTTTCTGTGTGCAATGTGGATTATAATCTCCTGTAATAGATAATCTCATTAATGCATATACCTAGTAGATTTACACATCTGAAAACAGTTGTTAGATTTTTATATGTTTGATAAGTTATGTTGTGCCATTATTCACATTTGTCACTGTATAACAGGTAGTCTAAGTTATATCGTTTTTAAATATGATGACAAATCTACTTGCTATAATGACACTAATTTTGACAGATTATTGTTTACTATTGGGCAGTTTTGTTTCTCGTAGAGAAAATTGACTCATTTTGTTTCTCTTTCCTGTTTTCATAGTGGAATAAAAACTGTTAACTTTGCAATTTTTAAGTTTCACTTGTATCAATAGACTTGGCTATTCAGTTTTGATCCAATGTAATTTTTCAGATTATATTCTAACCACAAAATTGGTTCATGTTTTGTAGCTACACCCTGGCAGCCATGTTTGGCTTATGGAATAGGAAAGAATGCAACAGTAGACTGGTATTGTGACATAGCTTTGTCAGTTCCTCTAAAAAGATTACATTAAGGTTAACTAAGGTTACATGAAAGGGATACCCACAGTTGCATGTCCCTGTTCTCCAAGGTCTATAGCTGAAATCGATAACCAATTCCGCCTGAGTCAAACAGCGCCCTCAACCACAAACTATGGTACCGTATTTGTTTTAACCAAGGCATTTTCATGGTGAGCAGGATTTAGAAGATAAGAAATTAAAATTAGTTTAGTAACCAGGGCTGTGATAGGTTGATTCTAATGAGCATTTAGTAACCAGGGCTGTGATAGGTTGATTCTAATGAGCATTTTGATTAATTTAGTTGAAAATGTTAGTTTAGTACACATGGTTTGTTTGAAATTGTCATTTGTGTAGGGGCTAGTAAAAATTAATCAAACTTAATTCTGAATCTTAATTTTTCATGAATTATAATAGAGAAATAGTTTGATTTAATTTGAGATTAGATGAAAACAACTGTATGAGTTGACACAAGTAATTTACTCTCAGTTTATATAATATTTACTAAAATTTATTTTTGTTGAACGTGGGGATAATAAACCAATATTCTGCAGTATTCAAAAAGTGAATATAGGAGTGGATATTAGTGGTGCAAGGTTCTCTCTAATTTATATCTCTGTTACACCTTGCACAGCTACAACAGAAGGCACGTGAAGAGGGCTTGATAGCTGACTCGGCTCACACCATACCAAAAGGACATGCATCTGCCAAAGTCTATCAAAACATTGATAAGTCATCTGATGCTACCACAACGGGAAGCGAGTTTCAGCCAGGTGCATGGGAGCCACCAGGAAAGAAATAACTGTGCATCTATTATGACCAATGTTCAATGTATTCAGGGATACCAGCAAAGAGACTTGATTATTAAAATCAATTGTTTTGGACACATGGGTACCATTACATGCAATTTACTACATAGGATGGATGCTACAAAGAAAGTTTTGACACTACATTTTTTGTATTCTTTAAGACTTTTCAAATGATATTTTAAAAGTTGAATGGGGAACTTTTTGTATGTAGAACCTTTCAATCTAATCTAAAGTGAGTTTAACAAATTACGGGGAAATTTTGATATGACTAAAATACATTTATATAGCAAAGTTGAACTGGTTCACTACAAATAATGTTGAATTACCGGTACATCTGTTATGTTATACTACAAATTACTTTGTAAGTATATCTTAAATATGAGCTGGTCACAGTAGTAAAACTGCTTATTGTTGTGAATAATTGACAGTAGTCATTTTGTAACATAATTATTACTGTACAATAAATATTTGAATTTGCTACACTTTTCCGTTGCATCATTCGTATCCCTTTTCCTTTACAATCCATAGCCGACGTGTTGTACTGCATTGACAAGATTGTCAAACCCAGTCATACACAAGCAAAGGTGCTTGCCTTGAATTAGTGGTGTACATTGCCAGACAATGTAGAAGTGGTTAACATTATCATCCAAACTCTTCGAATGACGAAATTTAGTCATGACCCACAAAAGGAAACTACCACCAGTCTTAAACTCCTATACAGAGTTCTATTGCTTGATCTGATGCTTGTCGCTGATTGGTTGATGCATCACAGTGGTACTATGTTCATGAAAACACTCCCATGCGGATGCTTGATTTTCAACCTGACAAAACTGTAAGTGACGTTTGTAGATTCAGGCAGTTTTCAAAGTGAGAAGCTCATTTTTTACTTTCTATAGAACAAACCGAGTTAGCTTGTCAATACTATGACATGTTTTCACTTGTTTATATTTCTGCACCTGGCAATCGGCAGAATGGTCAGTTTGAAAAACTGAGTAACACCTTAGTAAGCGATATTCCATGATAAAATTATTTTCTTTTGTAAATTATTATTATATGTAATTATTATTTCCCCTCTTGCGTTAAAAAAAAATTAATTATTAGCTATCGATAACATATTTTAACACTTGGCTGTGTGTGGTGGCACAGATACCATAGATGTCCTAACTGTAAGGAACTCCGGGAAGGAGAAGGAGAATGAGGTCTGCATAGTGCAAGGCTTGTTGTGAAAATTGGAGTATCGTTAAAGGAATAAATATTTTACGAAATAGTGTCAAAATGCTGGCATGTATGAAACTGCACACCCCTATTATACTTTTATGACAGTATCAGTAATATTTAAAAAAAATCCTTTCCATATTTCCAATTTTCATCCTGGATTAGTTGACAAGTAATTTGTGATTCATTG